GGACAGCCACATGCAAAAGAATGAAAGTAGACCATTATCTTACACCATACACAAAAATTAGCTCAAAATGGATTAAAGACTTGAAGGTAAGACCCCAAACCATACAATTCCTAGAAGAAAACATAGGTAGTATGCTCTTTGATGTTGGTCTTAGCAGTATCTTTTCCAATACCATGTCTACTCAGGCAAGGGAAACAAAAGAAAAATTAAACAAATGGGACTACATCAAACTAAAAAGCTTCTGTACAGCAAAGGATACCATCAACAAAATGAAAAGACAACCCACTAACTGGGAGAAAATATTTGCAAATCATGTATCTGGTAAGAGATTAATCTCCAAAATATATAAAGAACTCTCACAACTCAACAACAAAAAAACAAACAACTCGATTGAAAAATGGGCAGAGGATCTGAGCAGACATTTTTACAAAGAAGATATACAGATGGGCGACAGGCACATGAAAAGACGTTCAACATCACTAATCATCGGGGAAATGAAAATCAAAACCACAATGAGATATCACCTCACGCCCGTCACAATGGCTATTATTAAAAAGACAAGAAATAGCAAGTGTTAGAGAGGTTGTGAAGAAAAGGGAGCCTTCATACACTGCTGGTGGGAATGCAAACTGGTACAACCAGTACCAGTTTGGAAAACAGTATGGAGATTCCTCAAAAAATTAAGAACAGAAATACCACATGATCCAGCTATTCCACTTCTGAGTATTTATCCAAAGAACATGAAAACACTAATTCAAAAAAATATAAGCACCTCTGTGTTCATTGCAGCATTATTCACAATAGCCAAGACTTGGAAACAACCTACATGCCCATCAACAGATGAAAGGATAAAGAAGACGTGGTATATATACACAATGGAATACTACTCAGCCATAAAAAAGATGAAATCTTGCCATTTTCAACAACATGGAAGGACCTTGAGGGTATTATGCTAAGTGAAATGTCAGACAGAGAAAGATAATTACTATACGATTTCACTCATATGTGGAAGATAAACAAACAAACACTAGGTACAGAGAAGAGCTTGGTTATTACCAGAGGGGAAGAGGGGAGGAGAGGGGGAAAGGGGGAAAGGGGCACATTTGTACAGTGTCAAATGGCAACTAGACTTTTGGTGGTAAACCCCATGTAATCCATACAGATATTGAAATATAATGACATACATTTGAAATTTATATAATGTTATAAACTGATGTTACCTCAATAAAAAAAAGGAAAAAAAAAAAGCAAACGAAGAACAGAACAAAACAAAACAATGAGAACCAGATGGAAAAAAACCCAAGAGTTTGCTTTTTTACTTTCCACTTAAGAGAGAAAATCCAAAGTTAGAAATATTTATCATGGGCAGATTCTGCAAATTGAAAGGGGAGGTACATCAAACTTAAAAGCTTTCAGTGAATATAAGAGCTGCTTTTGAACAGTGTGTAGACAGAAGATGTAAATTGAGGCAGATTTAGCTATAAACAAAAGTAATACATATTTGCAAAAGAATACCTAGGGAGAAGTCCAAGTCAAAGGATAAATTTATGGTGATTCAGAGTTAAAAAGAACCATGACAACATATCCACCAGACTCCTTTGCACATGGAAAAAAGCCTACAGTAGAGAGGAGTGTAAAATGAAAAGTAAAAGTTTCCATTTCCCTCCACCCCAGTCTTATGTCCCAAAGATAATTACAGTTAACAGTTTCTTGGATTCTCTTCCAAAATCTTTCCTTGCATGTAGCAGCACACATGCATATAATTTTTTAAACAAGTGGTATCATACTCTATGAAGCATTCTAATTATTGCTTTTTAAATTTAATATAGCTTACATATCTTTCCATATTTTCTGAGCATTTCAACAACTGCAAAAATGACATAAACCTATTTATTTACCCAATCCACTGTTAATGGATGCTTAGGTGGAAGGGAATTGCTACCAACCTCTTTATCTCTGAAATGAGGACACTGAGTTCCCAAGAGAGGAAGAAATCTATGCCACATCACACAGCTAGATGGAAAATCTACATACCTACAGCCAGGGGCTGTCAACCAACTCCTAAGATAGTGTTTTTAATGAAAAAAGGAGGTTGGTAGAACACAGATGAAAAAAATCCCCTTGAATGTTTCATCCTCATGGGTCTTCTTTACAGAAATCATATTAAAAAGTTGTAGAGGTGGAGAGTTACTGAGACATTTATTCTACGTTAAAGGGAAGGCTTTCAGGGTTGGTAAGAATATCTCCAAACTATTAAGAATGATGAATATCTTCATTCAGCAAATCACTTTTCTTCCATCTTCCCCAGTAAATGTGAGCCACTTGCACTAGTATCGGCAGAAATGGGAAAACATAATCTTGACCTCAGAGAAGAATCAGAAAGTGAACAAAACCTAATATTACAATTTTGGGTTTATAATATTACAATTACAATATTATAACGATATTCATATTACAAAAGACTTACAACATTACAGCTAAACCATAGGCAGACATCAAGGAGAAAAAAATATCTGACGGATATTCCATCAGCATAACTGTAGAACAGTTAAGGATTTGATCCCCTTTATTTTCAAAGGAATATGGAATCAATCTTAAGAAAATGAGTTCTTATTGAATACCTACTACATATATAGACTATGTTTGCTGATTTGGAGTTGGGCAGGGTGAAGACAAAGTCTAAAAGACAGATCAACCCTCATTTATAATTGCATTAGAGACAAAGAATCAAACAAGGTGAAATAAGGTAGCAATGCAAGATTGCATGTAAATAAGTACAGAAAACAACTATATATTGGGTGTCTTCAAGGAGAGCAAGTTAAGTTCCCTCTTTTGATTTTGGCCTTTGCATTAACTGACCTACTTCATTTCACAAATTTTTGCATCACTTCTTGGCCGCATTCACATGGTGGGGTGGTGGAAGCCTGGGTCTTTACAGTGTATCTAGTTTTATTAGATACAAAGCAGAGGTGGGACCTGGTACGTGCCTGGTGGGTATGTGGAACACAGACCACCTAACTAGGTGCTGCAGAGTCTAGAGTGAGCACTCACTGGATATTCGCATTGTGCTGGGGGGGGAGGGTGCCAGAAGACTTTGAGGAACCTATCAGGGCATGAACAGTCTAAGGCTGACACCACTCCCTGGGTGCCAAGGGCCATCAGAAGCCCTCTCAGTAGCACATGGGAGAAAGAGAACTGAAAACACAAAGACATAAAGGATGCCAAATGCTCAGTGATGGGCATGCGGCCTGAGGTACTGAGATTTCTGAGGCAGGCGTGGGGGTGGGAGGGAGGCTCAAGACGCTTCTGGTCCTTTTTCTTTAACCCCAAGAAACTAAAGCAGAGACAAGAACCCAGAACTAAAGACTGATTTCCTAAGAGCTTAATAGATTAAGTGGTACAGATTTGAGAATGAAAACTCTGCTTTTCAAAGGAGTTACCATAATATTAGGAACAAAGCATATCTGATGCTAAAGATATTGACTGCCACAGATAAATAAAACTTAGGGTAAATGTAGGAACAGGATTTTAAGTGTGACTTTTTATGACTCAAGTAAATAAGGTCACATTTAAATAACAGAAAATATTTACATAACACTTTTGTAAAGACTGAATAAACATTAGCTATCATAGGATGCATGACCATAAGCTTCAGACATACTAGGTTATCATTCACATCCCTAATGAGTAATGCAAAGGACGTGTTTTAGGCATAATAACGCTATCAACCAAGGACATGAAATATAATCCTCCAAAGAAAATTCTAAAGGGCAGGACAAGCATTCCATTTATAGTTTAACCTTATAAATTTAATAGTCAAAGATCAAAAAATAGGGATGGAAATTAAACAAAGTTAGTTTATCCACTGTTATCTGTACCAGGGAACAACAGGTTATTTAATCAACATACCTGATGCTCTCAGGATCATACTTAGTAACTTCCTCCTGGATGGTAAGCATATTTAGAACAGAGGTACTGCTTTGCCAGAACCCAGGAAAACAGTGTCCCACTATATCTGAAAGGGCCTATCACTTCCTGTACTGGGCATGACCCCTCAGGCCCTACGTCAGTAGTGCACACTGGAGTCCCTACTCCCAGCACCTGCGCTCTTTGGAATCCAGAGAATTAACAACCTGACCTCCTCTCCCCAAAACAGCCTCAAGCAATGACTGGTGGGAGTTGGTATACACTATCTCAACTCCTTCACCCCTCAGGTGGGAAAACCCCAATGTACAAGTTTTACCCATATAATGGTAACTGACTTAATGACACACCCTTTCTGGACTGCCTTCCTTTCCCCATTTCATTTCCTCAATGCCCTATTGGTGTTTCCCAGAATCCCCTAACCCCCAAATCAACTATTTGTACCTGACTTCTTGTCTCAGTGTATTTCCTGGGGGAGCCTAAACTAAGACACTCTGAGTTGTCTTCATCATCTCCTAAACTAAGACACTCTGAGTTGTCTTTGTCATCTCCAGGTTTAACTTAGCCTCCTCTCAAGACCCCTCCATCTACAAATCATTGCCGGTGCCAAGGGACCATGAGAACTGTTTTAACTGAAGACAAATCTCCAGGGGTCACAGTTTATTTGGGTAAGGGTGGAGGATTATCAGTAGCCCAAAGCTGCACGAAGAAGAAACCTCGTAAAAGGTAATCATGGGAAAGGAATAGTAGAGTGTGGTTAAGAAGTGGGATGTTAGGTGGCCGAAGCCACCTGGAGTGATCCCATAAGGGATCACTGGGTGAGACCCCCATAGAGGGAGAAATTGGGAAAAGAAGTGAGCTGAAGCAACTCTGCCTTACCTCTCCTTTGGTCCTGAAGGTACATCCCAATTCTTCTGCCTTTAAACCCATTGCTGGCTTCTCTGCCCTCACTCACAGAACCTGCCCTTGTGTCTGCATCCTTCTCAGCCAGCTTTTGAGCTTCTCTCCCCGAGTTCTTGGTCCATTCCTATGGCATTAGCCTTCAGCCCTGCATCCTCTCCCAGGGATCATACTCTTTCACCAGTTCCCGTGGGCAGCCACCAAACCAATTAGATCTCTATCCAGTTCAATCTGATGCTTCCTGTAATTGCTTAGCAATCAATGCCTCTCCTAAAACTGCCAAGGAGCCCTTATTCCTTTGTAGTGAAGGCAATATTCCATTTTGAATTCTTTGAAAGTCACAATCTGTTTAAAAAATAGCAATCAATCTTGCCCTCCATTCTCAGTCCCCTACTAATTCAATTATTTATTTGTTACCAGATCCTTCTTTCTGTTTAAACATCTTCCTCACAGTCTGGCAGGCAGAGCCGTCCCCAAGGCACACACCACAGCGATCCTCCGTAGCATTGGAATCTATCTCATAGTCACAGCCGACCATCTGTGGGGAAAAGAGGTTGAGGGTGAATGACACAGGCAGGAGACGCCACACCTGCCTTGGACCTCTGACTTCTCTGTCCTTCCTTTGCTCTTGATGAAATTGGGGCTGGGGGCAGATACAAGAACAAACGTTTTCTTTTCCTGGTGGTAGTCAGAGGAATAACCAAAGCATCCATTGAGGGTAAAGAAAATACTTGCTTAGGAGAATGAAGTACACACTGAGTGGGTCTCCAAATTCCCCTTAGTCAGAGGTAAAATTGAACACAGTTCCAAAAATTTAATTATGAAAAGGTCTTGGAATTGGAGTTGGTGGAGCAGCAAGTCCCTTTCAGATGTGCAAATCTCACGCCTGCTCCTCTCTACTGAGATTTCTCAGGGGTGATGTAATTACTCCACCAATAATTGTGTTGTTCAATCCCTTTACATTCCTCACTGGGCTTATTCTCTCTGCTTCCTGTCTGAGGACAGCAGGTGAACCAGCAGCCACTAGAGAAAAGCTAGCTTAATGCTGAGACTACTCCAGTCCATGAGGGATGAACGCTCTGACCTGCAGAGCCTTTGGAGCCTCCTATGACCACAGGCCCTACTGAACTTCACACTTAGCCATGTCCCAGCCATCCTGACCTCCTCCCCTCCAGCTGCAGAGGAAGAACTGGTTGTTCTGTCTCTGAGCCAAGACTAATCTTGCTCCTTCTCAGTGTTCTGTCCATTGGTCCTCCTGAATCATCATCTTTCCCTCTCCAATGCTTCCTTCCCCTCAGTCCATCAATACGACCAAGGCTTTCCCATCCTAAAATTCCCATTCTGGGAAAGGAGAGCAATTAAACTTGGGTGTTCTGTAGTATCAGATACCAAAGAATCACGACCCTTAGATTGAAAATCATGAAACGTGAGTTTCAACTGAACTTGTCTGTTGCTTGCTTTCTTCCATAGCCCATGTTCCTGATCACATTTCAGTGGTAAAAGAAAAGGGAAAATGATACCATATTTTATTAATCATATTTCTCTTTCTTGTTTGGGAAGAAGAATTGTTCCCAGGCGGATTTTTTTCCTCTCTCAAAGATAATTTCCTCTCTTACTTTAAATCCACCTTAAATCTACTGAAAGCAAGAACAGTTTGAGTCTTTACATACACCTTCCACCAGCTAAACAGAGAATTAATGTGCACTGACAGAAAATAGTCCCATTCCTCAGGTCAACCATCTCTAATTTCCTTTAAGTCCAAAGAGTTATGCTACTTGACCCAGTTGGGAAAAAAAATAAAGTGCTAAGTGATTAAACCAACAACAACAACAACTTAATCACGTTAATCACAATGGAAAGAAAAGAAATTGTCTGGATGTGTGCCTTCAGTGGTTATGAGTAAAATGCCAAACCTTCACCAGTGATATGTTTGTGTCAAGCTTGAGCATCTTCTAATAAGCTGACCTTTACAAATCATATTCCCAGTGACCTTCATTCCTTCACTGATCTGGAATGATCCAGGGAAACTTACTGTGAGGCATATTAATTTTAAAGCATTTTTAAAAATCTCTATCAAAAGGGGATAGATAAAAAATGTGAAGAATAAAGGAAAGAAAGCCAGAAAAACAAATACCTTGAGCCCAGCTTTCTTCTCTAGCAATATCTGCCCGCATCCCTCAGGGGTGGGGTTGGGGAAGGAGACACACACTTCCCCAATATGCTATCCCACAGCGTATTAAATGGCTTCTTGTGGAGACTTCACCCTATTCGTTTCTCCTATCAGCTGCACATAGAACAGTCCACACTGAAGGAAGTACAGAACAGAAGGCCTGTGAAGGTGTCAGCCAGTCCTTATTGTTGCACATCAGACGTAATGGCTCTCAGGGGAAAATAAACAAACGTCACTCTCCTCTTCCAGGCAATGTTTTCTGGCAACAGGGCCCACAATAATATTGCCTTTCTGCCTTCAGCAGAATTAGAGGTGGCTCTGCTGTCGTCACCAAATGTGGACAATGGCGCCAGCATGGCTCTCCTCTGATGTGACTCTTAGGATGCCAGACAGCCACCTCACCAGGCAGCATTTTGGAAAAAAAAGAAAATCACTTTAATTTCCCATCATATCGTTATTTCTTTCTTTAAAAAGCAGCTTTATTGAGGTATAGCTGATATACAAAATACTGCACATATTTAATGTATACAGTTTGATGAGTTTGGACTTAAAAAAAAACCACCAGTGAAACCATCACCGCAATCAAGGTAATAGACATATCCATCACCTCCAAAAAGTTTCCTTGTGTTCCTTTATTGTGTTTGCTGAGAACACTTAAGATGAGATCTACCCTCTTAACAAAATTTTAAGTGCACAATAACAGCATTGCTAACCACAGGCCCTGTGTTGTACCGCAGATCTCTAGGATTTACTCATCCTGCATAACTGAAACTTTATCATCATTGAACAGCACTCTTCATTGTTCCCTTCCCTCAGCCCTTGGCAACCACCATTCTATTCTCTGCTTCTATGAGTTTGACTATTTTAGATTCTCATAGAAGTGTAATTATGTAGCATTTGTCCTTCTGGGATTGGCTTGTTTCACTTAACATAATGTCCTCCAGGCTCATCTGTGTTGTCACAAATGGCAAGATTTCCTTCTTTTTAAAGCTGAATAATATTCCACTGTATGTATAGACCACATTTGCTTTATCCATTCATCTGTTGATGGCCATTTGGGTTGTTTCCACATCTTGGCTATTGTAAATAACGCTGCAATGAACATGGGAATACAGGTATCTCTTCAAGATCCTGATTTCAATTCTTTCAGATTTGTACCCAGAAGTGGGATTTCTGGGTGATGTGGTAGTTCTGTTGTTAATTTTCTGAGGAACTCTCATGCTGTTTTCCATAGCAGCTGTACCATTGTCCATTCCCACCAACAGGATACAAGGGTTCCAATTTCTCCATATCTTTGCCAACACTTTTGTATTTTTGATAATAGCCATCCTAACAGATGTGAGGTGATATCTCAGTGTGGGTTTGATTGGTATTTCTCTGATGTTTAATGATGTTGAACACCTTTTTATATATCTGTTGGCCATTTGTATGTCTTTTTTGGAGAAATATCCATTCAAATCCTTTGCTCATTTTTTAATTGAGTTATTTGTTCTGCTATTGAGTTACAGGAGTTTCTTATACATTTTGGATATTAACCTATTATCATAAATGTGGTTTGCAAATATTTTCTCCCATGCTGTAGGTTGCCTTTTTATTCTGATGATTATTTCCTTTCCTGTGCAGAAGCATATCTTTAGTTCTTGACATACTACCTTGAGTATTACTTACAGAAATCAGGTCCCAGGCTTTCACCAGGCCTTTAGCTCTACATGAGTGTATAAATAACATATATTCCTACCAATTCTCATCTTTTGCTTATGAGTTAACATTGATTTACTTTGTAAATTATCAAGTGACTGAGAACTAAAATACCAACTGGTACCATGACCTAATCCACCTGGAGTGTCATCATTTCTTTCTATAGTCCCTTGGCAAAGGTAGAGACTAGAAGAATGCCTGGTTCTAAGATGAGATTCATTCCCAGTCAATGAAACGTTAAATGTGAAGATAGTTACGGTAGAGCTATGCTTAGCCAAAAAGAACAGGTAAATGCTATTGTCATTTGGGACAGCAGGAATAATGTTTTCTTCACCCTAGCTTTGAGGGCCAAAAGAAAGGATGTGGCATTCTGGAGAGAGATCTGGCCTAGGCAAATTGATCTGGGAGTGTTCAGCATATCACTGAGATGGCCAAAACGGCCTTGAGAGAGAACAAAGAAGGTTCAGGCCAGTTTCTGGGAGGAATGATAGAGGGTGCTAACTTAAGACAGGTAGGAAGATTGTCAGGTAAGCTTCAGGACTCAGCTTCAAAATCAATTAAAGACATTGACTTTGTAGGGGCACAAATTCACAAAGTTGAATTTTTATTTTAAGAAGTGTACAGTAGGCTGATCATAAGATCAAAAAAGGGTTGTGGTTGGGTTGATCCAGAACCAGGGTCCTGGGGTGAGAGGTTGATGGAAGGCTAAGAGGAGAAGTCTAGAGGACAGAGGATGTGATAGATCAGGGCATCTAGGCTGCTTGGGAAGGAAATTAAACCAAAGCTACACTGACTGAGAGAAAAGGGAAGAGGGAAAGAACTAAAAGTCAAAGAACTGGTTACCAGGAAAAAGGAGTGAAGGATCTGGAAAGTTAGCAGATTGTCCTAAGACAGGAGGTAAGATTGCAGAGCTGGAAAAGATTGGGGGAGGGGTGGGAATATCTGCTCATATATTTAAAAGCTTATTCCATGTCATACTTATGATTAAAAATGGAAGAGCTCCTGGAAAGTCAGTTTAAATTTATATCTTTGAAAAGCAAGCCTAGGAGTTCAGTCCAAGTTAAAAAAAATTGGGGGAGTGGCACAGACAGCTACCTCCAAGCACAAATTCAGTTCTGCTCAGGGCTTGATAATTTTCCTGACAATAGAATCTGTAAATCTAATATGCCAAAATGTTGGCAAATATCATAATTTCAAAATAGCTGAATATATGAACATAAGCAAATATAATGAATATTTATATGAATATAAGCAAACATATTTTCATCTCCACAAAGAAGATGGATTAGACAAGACTGTATACATTTTTTTCTTTTTATTTCAATACATGGTCATTTCCCTTTGAAAAAACTGTAATAAGTGAATAAGAAGACTAACAAAGCTGAAAATTACTGCAACTTGGATCTTTGGAAGATAAATTGTACTTAGGCTATTAAGGTAAATTTGATTTGACATAATTTTTCAGCTTAAAATCTTAGCTCAGTGTGATATAGACAGAAAGTGGGCAATTACATCTTCTAAAAGGCCTTAACTAGTTTCTAGAGAGAGGAAGGCATGCTGAGAGAATATGGTTTATTCTATAGGGAAGCTGATTTAATTGGTTTCAAGAGAGGCACCCAAGATCCCTAATGTTTTGTTCAAAATACTTGTGTTTTCCATCACAAGCTAAAGATGCTGTCTCTATACATGCAAAGATATTTAGGTCTAAAAGATAATTTTAGCATCCCATTCATTTCTTGGTGTCTAAAGTTCTCAGTCCTAGCTGCATATGGCAATCGCCTGGGGAGTTTTAAAAACATCGATGCCCAGACCCCAAATCCCAGAGATTCTGAATTAATAGGTTTTAGATACAGCCCAGACATCAATAGTTTTTAAAAGCTCTCCAGGTGATGCTAATAGGCAGCCAGGCCTGAGAACCACTGCTTTAGACAGTAATGGGGCTGTTTTGGCCTGAATTAACTAAATGAACCTTTCCCACTCTTGGGAATAGATTTAACCTAAAACATATTACTTATTTTTGGTTCTTTGTAGCAACAATGGTAATTAGTGAGTCTGAAAGAGAATTTTGCCTGACCTCTTCCAAATTTAGCATTTGCTGTTAGCTCATTCATTCCTGGGAATCATCACGTTGCCTCCTGTGCTGTGGTCACTACTGGAATAAACCAACAGACAACTTCAAGGTAATACATGCACCTTCCCAGGATGCTGAACATTTATGGGCAGGAGCTTTTCACTGGGGCAATTTGGTCCAGTGGAAAAGAAATTACGATAAATATTTGCAAAAACAAAGAAAATTTATTAAGAGTTTATGTGTGCCAGGGGCTCTCTTAAGGGCTTAACATATATGACCTTATTTAATCTTTTTAACAACCCCACCTAGAAAGACACATTAATATCCCAATTTTATGAAAGAAAACTAAGTCTTAGAAAGATGTACAGGATTATACAGCTAGTAAAGAATGGTATTGAGTTCATATTCTAGAGCCAGAGTGCTAAACCACTATGCTTTACTAACAGTTTACTAACAGTTAATTATACAGTTTCTATACAGTTTTTCTTTCATTGATTAAATGAAGGTGTTCATTGATTAAAACACCTTCTCTTTAAACTGAGATTTATGCTCAGGTGTTGGATCACAAACCTTGTTCATCAGTTCCATGGGGGAAGGATGTCTTCAATGGTTGTACACATAAAAGCATTAAATCAGGTCTAAGTAATTTATATAAAGGCAGAATTAATTAATGGAGTCAGTGTGGAAAAGTTCAATAGAAATCAGAAGACCTGGTTTATAACTACCCATCACGCCATCTCTCTCCTAAGGTCATGTTGGTAATCAATGGAGAATTAAACGTAAAAATGCTTTGTGAAAAACACCATACAAACTATCATTAACTTTAGTTTTTCCTCAAATTTAACTACTCTCTTGGCAGGTAACCAATAAATAATTTAAGCCATTGAAATAATCTGGGTTGCCTTTTCCTAATAATTCCTCCTTTTATTTGGTTCTTCTTCAATTTGACCCTGCTCCATGCCTAAAATAATATCACAAAGCCCATCAACAAATCAAGAAATAAAGACAACAGCAGGAGGAAAAACTATTCAGTTCAAAACTGGGACTTTTTGATAAACACTGAGAAGTCTTGTTCACAGACTATATACAAAACCCAGACCATATACAAATGCCACGAAAGTAAAAGGTTAGAACATCTGACTTCCTGAATTAATAAAATTCATGATTTTATAAGGTTGTAGATTAAGGAAACATACCCAATACCTTACATATGCCATTAATACAGACATTTCTGCTGTTGCCGCCTTCAAAGCAAGGGGTACCATCAATGACAGCATCCAGCATTTTCTCGGAAAACTGGCCATCTATGGGTCGGCAGTAGAGCTCACAAGGATGTGCTGAAGTGAAAAAGGACAAATGCTTGCAAGTTAGCTTTTTAGCTCCGCATCCATCCCCCAGGATTCTTTTGTACGTATGACCCCCTAAGTGTCATTTAATCTGGTGATTTCCGTCTTTTATCTTTCTGTGACACATGCTGAAACGTAGGCTTTTTCCTTTTTTCAGTTAAACAGTTTTACAACAAATTAAATTGGGGAGGTTGCTTTAAAATTCTATGCCCTTTGTTATAAACGGTGAGACCTTTCGATCCAACATTGAATTGCATGCTTCTAAAAATAAGGCACTGAGCATCTGGGGTTAACCTAGAAAACAAGTACTAGCAACCAGTGAAGCATGATGCCTGCCCATTGTGTGCAGCAAAGTAAGTAGACCTCCAGGGGAGAGGTGGGCCCCTCCTATGGGACCAGCTCTCTACTAACACCACCGCCACTATCACAACGCCACCCCCAACAAATACTCTTCCTCATCCTCCTCAAGTCCAAGAAGTCCTTGGACACAGATTTACAACCACATACAAACAAAGAATCTGCTTTTTTGCCAAAGCTGAAGCCAACCTGCTTATCATAATGGCCCAGCCCATCATGCTGGGTCCTACATCGAATCCATTCTAAGGTTCAGTTTTCTTTTCCCTTGTGAATGAAGATAGGGTGATCTCCATCACAGAATTGTTCTAAAGATTTACTTAATAAAACACATACCTATACATAGGTACTTAGAGTAATCAGAAAGACAGATAACTTTTAAGACATAAATTGCCTTAAAAATTTTAGTAAATAATACGTGTAATAAGAAGAATTCAAACAGTAGTTTTCTTTTGAATGTTATGTGTTGTTTTCTTTGAGTGAAAAACCTGAGAGTATCTTTTTCTGAAATGTCCTTTTGGGATCTCTTCTGGGTTTGTTTACTGGAGGAAGGGCTGTTAGTTTCTTGGTGGTGTGACCACCTGAGGGCTTGATGAGACCAGCCATGACGTCATTTGCCACAGACCCACCTCAGTGTGGATGGACAACAAACGCAAAGGCAGAGTGCACAACTCTACGTATGGCTGCTCGAGGACACAATGATCCATGTGGTAAGGAAATAAGAGTGCAAAACACACAAATATAACTAAGAGCAAAATCTCCAAACACCGAAACTCTGGACGAACTTGAGAAAAAGTTGACGTAAAAGTATCTGTTCAAAGCTTAAAGGAGAAAGGTAAAGCAAATAAAGAATACCAACTGATTTTGTATAAGGTGCAGTGGATAAGCTGTCTGAGAAAATGAACAAAGTCAAGATGAGCTGGAGAGATCACTGCACACAGTGCCAATGAAAAAGGGCCAAAAGATTCTGAGGACAAGGCATGACTTGGATTGTTGTAAATCTTCGTCGCTGGTGGCATGATTAGCTCTGTCACTGCCTGAACTGGAATAGAAGCACTTAGGAGGAGCCACCTGGGAGCAATTCTGCTCTCCTAGTGATGAGAACATCCACCCAGGTGTGCTGAGTCCGGGAAATCATTTCATGAAACATTGGGCAATCAAGTAGCAGGAAGGAGGCAGGGGAAACTTTGTTTTACTATTTTCTAAACAACTGCTGTCTTGTCAGTTTAGCATAAAGAATTCTAGATCCTGCTACGTCAGTAGCTGGTTCCACGACTTTCCTTTACTGTGACTGCGGACCAGGTTCAAAGATGTTCTGCTCGTACAATGACTACTGAGGTCCTCTCAGCTCTACCGTTCCAAGACTATGGATTTTACATGCTCCTCAACCAAACTGCAGCATCCTCAAGGGCACTCAGGTCATTTGTGCACTGATCAGCTATTATTAGCCAGACGGTATAAAAAGGAGGAGTCATTAACACACGCTAGTGAGGACTCAAAGGCATAGTAGAGGCAGAAATAAGCCCAGCCTGGGGGACTCTTCTTCACACAAGCTTTGGAGTTAGAGCCATAGGGATTCAAATCCCAGCCCTGACTCTGACATCTTGTCCAAGACCTTTTTGGTCTCTGGTCTACACAGAGAAGATTGTCAGAGGATAACACATGAAAACCTCTAATGAGGTGTCTGACATAGAGCAGTTGTTTAAATGTAGTAGTTAGTACCGTTAACCTTTCCCAATGAATACTAGCAGAATATTACATCTAGAAAAGGCTCTTAATCTATGTTTACTAATTAACAGACATGACAGTAATCAGCACTGTTAGGGAGAAATTTTTGGACCAAATGAGAAAGAGATCATTTTGATCTTGAGAGATCAACTCAGTCAGCCATAAAAATGAACACTGACCTCAGTGATAGAAGTCAAGGATGTTCGTTGCGGCAATTAAATGTTTATCCAGAGAGAAATGGACAAGATAATTAAGTTGTATTTACATAATGAAAGGCTATGTAGTCACTAAAGGGAATGAGGTAAGCCATAACACCATGATCTTCTGCTCAGTGAGTCAACAAAGTTGCAGAATTGGCAAAGTATGATACCATTTGCGTGCAAATGAAAACCTGCTACTAACAATGGTTGCCTCTGAGGAACAAGTTAAGTGTGGTGGGATAAGAAGAATTTATTTTATTTCATTCTGTTATGTACACTTTCCTTTTTTATAAGAAGCATATATTCCTTTTAAAAATAACGTCTTGGCCCTCAGAAAGAAAACCGGAAAGGTCTCCTTTTTCTGGTGATAATCATGATACACCTCCACGAAGAGAGGTGCTAATTTCAAGACTTCTCTCTGTCTTGCTTCTGCAATACAGAACTAGCATGTCCTTCAAGGTTAGACAGGCTAACAGAAGTACACTGCATGTAACAAACACAAATGTCTGTTGAATTAAGTATAAGTGTTGAGTATAAGCAGTGGTCTACAGAGTCTTAGGAATATCAGGTAAACATCTTTTGTGGCAACAACAATAATAGCACATAGACCCACTGCTGTGACTCTCCAAGAGGTCACACATCTATGACCTATAGGTATGCCTAAGGCCAGAAAGAACCCTGTGCTTGCAAGTAGCTGCTGTGAATGGAAGGTTTAGCGCCAATTAAGCATTTTATAAGGCTGAACCTGAAGTCCTGCTTCCCTGTCCGTTCCACTGGCCTTTGTCTTCATGGAGCTCTGGGTATGTCATTAGGTTGGCCTATGAGACAGGGCTCTGCAGAAGGAGTCAGGGGAGATAATGGATGGTCTTAGTTCTCAATGGTCAGCATGAGTATCAAACAGTTTCTGTCCTAGATATCAACCTCATGTCTACTTTTATAACTACCATGTCTATAGTATTTCTTGCTATGCTAGGCAAAAAGTAGGCACATGCTAAATGCTTGTAAATAAATGAAAAACCAAGCTGAATCAAATCTTGTTATTCTAAGTCCACCTACTCGAGTCATCAGGGTTCAGCACACAAAAGTTCAACCCTGCATCTAATCAGGGGATCCCCAAAGTAAGCACCTCTGGGGCAGCTATGCTACCTTAACACTACTGTTATAGCTCCTTACCTGAATTAAAAACTGGAAACCAGTGGTAGAATTCATTCTTGTAGGGAACGGTGTCAAACTCACTGCACTGCATCTGCCGAAATGTTGGTGTATCTTGGCGACAGGGGTGGACATTGCACAAGCGATAGCGTTTTCTTTCTCCAGTGCAGTACTTCCCTCCAAACTTTGGTCTGCAAATGAAACACACAGGCTGTTCTTTTAGTTTCCTTAAAGGCCCACAGTTTCCTCAGGCAAGGGCAACCAAAGCAAAAGTAAACAAATGGGATTACATCAAACTAAAAAGCTTTTGCACCGCGAAAGCAACCACCAATAAAATGAAAAGGCAACTTACTGAATAGGAGAAGCTGTTTGCAAATGATATATCCAACAAGGGGTTAATATCCAAAAAAATATAAAGAACTCACACAACTCAATATCAAAAAACAAACAATCCAATTAAAAAATGGGGCAGAGGACCTGAATAGACATTTTTCCAAAGAAGATATACAGATGGCCAACAGGCAAGTCAAAAGACGCGCAACATCACTAATCTTCAGGGAAATGCAATCAAAAACACAATGAGATATCACCTCACACCTGTCAGAATGGCTATTATCAAGAAAACAAGACATAATAAGTGTTGGAGAGGATATGGAGAAAAGGGAACCCTTGTGCACTGTTGGTGGGAATGTAAATTGATGCAGCCACTATAGAAAACAGTACGTAGATTCATCAAAAAATTAAAAATAGAACTTCTATACGACCCAGAAATTACACTTCTGGGTATATATCCGAAGAATACGAAAACACTAATTTGAAAAGATATATGCACACCTTGCATCCCTGGAATAAATCCCATTTGATCATGGAGTGTGATCCTTTTAACGTAGTGTTGTATTTGATTTGCTAATATTTTGTTGAGGATTTATGCATCTATGTCCATCAGCGATACTGACCTGTAATTTTCTTTTTTGTGCATTGTCCTTGTTTGGTTTCGGTATCAGGGTAACGTTGGCCTCATAAAATGAGTTAGGAAGCGTCCCCATCTCTTCAATTTTTTGGAAGAGTTTGAGAAGGATAGGTATTAAATCTTCTTTGAATGTTTCATAGAATTCACTAGAGAAACTGTCTGGTCCTGGACTTTTGTTTTTTGGGATGCTTTTGATTAGTGTTTCAATCTCCTTACTAGTGATCAGTCGATTCAGATTCTCTACTTCTTGATTCAGTTTTGGAAGGCTGTATGATTCTAAGAATTTATCCATTTCTTCTGGGTTACCTAATTTGTTGGCATATAGTTTTTTCTAGTATTCTCTTATAATCCTTTGTATTTCTCTGGTATCCATTGTAATTTCTCCTCTTTCATTTCTGATTTTATTTATTTGAGCCTTCTCTCTTTTTTTCTTAGTGAGTCTAGCTAAAGGTTTGTCAATTTTGTTTATCTCTTTAAAGAACAAGCTCTTAGTTTCATTGATCTTTTCTATTGTCTTTTTAGTCTCTATTTCATTTATTTCCTCTCCGATTTTTATTATTTCTGAGAGCCTTTTATGAGCCAAGCCCTGTTGGGTTCTCACCAGACAGCTGACCAACATTAAGAATACAGTCTCAAAGTCAGCTGGTCATCCACTGACCCGAATCTGTGACTGTGTTTCCATTGGCACTGTTCTCAGTGAACTTAAGCAAACCGGCTACTGAAATCAGACAGGGTCACTCACCTGGGGAGACTCTATGACAAATTGTGGCCTCTGAGACAGCAGTTAGGACCACATTCCCCTGAAGCTAAGTTAGAGAATCATTCTTTAGTTCCTCAACATTCCTTTAGTTCCTTTTCTGATAACCACAAGTCATTGGCAATCCTCCCAAGAAGGCTATGAACTGGTGGTGCCTGATACACATCATTGACAATGTCCCAGAGCAAATTGCCTATATTTCCTGATCTCTAAAATGGAAATCATTTTTCTGATCACACTGAAATAAACTACAAAATAAAGATTTTCACAAAAATAAAGTATAAGAAGTTTCTGGTTTTAAATTTTTGAAGTCACAGAAACCTTATATTTAAACAAAAGTAACTTTCATCAAAGGGTAAGATTTTAAAACAATTTTGTCCAAATTCCTGAAATGTATACTTATATGTGTGGTAAATGATAAAATATCATAACGACTATAACAACTACCATTTACTGACAATTTTATGAAGTAGGTGTTGTTTTTAAACTCTTTATAGATACTAACTTATTAATTCTTATGAGAAATTTATTATATATATAGTTTATATATATATACATGCACATATATATACATATATATAGTAGTAAATATATTTGCTAATAAAAAGGAGATGTAAGATTTGGAATTGAGACACTGAGAAAATTGTAATCACATTTACCATTTGCCTTTTAAAAAATGTGACTCTTAACACTTCAGTGCAGGCTGATGTAAATCTAGGTTAAAGAAGCTTAACACCATTTTCCTCATACAGGAGGCATCATATGTACACTTTTTAAAAATTGCACTAAGGAACTAGTATACCAGGAAATAATGAAATTAAGAATGTAATATATATTTGGAAAACAATGGAATTTAAATTTAATTCATACATAATCTCATTCAAATTTAAAATATGAAAAAATTAAGCAATTTGCTTAAAAAATTGAAAGCCACTTGTGAAATAACTTCTATAGAATTCTTAACAGGCTAACATTGAATGCTAAGGTTTACAAAATCCTTATCTAAAACATTAAAAATAATTATCCTCGAAAAAACCTGCCTAGCTATTTTATTAGTTACCTAAGGAAAGAAAAATATCTTTATGAACTTGTACATTCCCTGTAATCAAAAGAAAGCTACAATCTTACTAGCAAATTGGGTATAACTGATCTCTCACTGATAGAGCGGGGTTATCTAGAAGGATTTAATGTATAATCTCCTAGAGGCTTTCACATAGATAGTCCTTTTGAAGGAAATTTGTTTATTTCTCCAAATGATGGAATCTGCTTACTTATCCAAGTTCTAATAAGAATCCAGTGCTGAGCCAAAATGAAACGAAACAAAACAGAACCACTTTTTTTTCACCCTCTATGAATCTTTGGGTTCTCTTTTGTCCTTGGGAACCCACTTTATTTCTCTCAAGAGGCTTGGGGTCATTGACGTCATGCTATCCAAGACTGGTCTCCCAGCGCTCATGGAAGGAAGGGAACCACATTTGGCTTAGACTTACTCAGGGTTGTTGCAGAGCCTCTCTGCACTCTGGGCTCCGGCCCCACAGGTCCTGGAACAGTGGGACCAGGGTGACCAGCGGCCCCAGCCTCCAGGAATGCTTTCTGGTTTCTTCCCCACTGTGATACACTTGCCAGCCATACACCACTGGAAAGGGAAGAGGCAGGAGATGCGCACGTCAGGAAGGTTCTCATAGTGTGCTGAACCAAGAACCCTAGAAGTCTAAACCCAATTCTCCCTGAGCAACCAGGCCCCTACAGTCACACATCAGATGTAGAACAAAGAAGGGCTCATAAAAGAATTTCCTCCAAGAGTCTTGGGTTTTAGAATCAGAGAATTTCAGGAAGCTTTATGAGAGCTTTATGGTACCAAGTTATAGCCAACACAGGAATGTGACTCAAAGTGTGGACAGCAGATCGCATGCCAGAATGTAAATCAACACACCACGTCTTTCACTGAGAAAGTCTTGCTATGAAAAGTATGTCAGCTTAGCGTGCTCAGTAACATAGTTGTTTAGTAACATAACTAGTTTACTTTCTGGTGCAAGCTCCTCATCCTGTTGTAGATGATAACAAACATTTTGCAGACTGGCACTGTGATGACACTTCTTTATAGCCTCTGTGGGTATTTAATATCTTCGCCAGATAACTCATCCTCTTGTAAAAAGTCCACTCATTGCTAAAAAACACTACTTGTTAGGAAGTTGAAGTTCTTTCCAATATCAAGAAAAATTTTTGCTTTCCTGTTGTTTCCAGTTCTGGCCTTTCAAGTGGCTCAGAAAAAAATCCACTCTCTGCCTCTTCAAGGCAATCCTTCAACAACTCTCAGATTATGAGGGTGACATACAGAAAGGAAAATAAAAGAAAATGCAGCTTGGTTGTTAGAAATGGCCACATTTCCTAGATGAGTTGAGCATGTTTTATCTACTGGCCTCCTTTTCCTCATTATTTCTGGTCACTGTGTATTTTGACAAAGTTCTATAATCTCAGTGACGGGTCAGGCCACACTGAAGCTGCGTAAAGATGCTCACTAAATTCCTAAATCCTCGGCCCACAACAAACCCAACTGGTTTTGTTGAGCAGCACATATTACCCTGTTCTTCTCAGGCAGTCTAGGGGATACCTAACATCTCTGAGTTCTTGGGTGTCCGGCCTTCATGCTTAGTAAAGTGGGCAGAACTTCAATAAATGCAGTCAGGTCAGATAAGGAGAAAGAAGATAACAAGTGGCCCAAATCTGCATCTTTGGAAAGAAGAAGCCACTGGCTTGTCCTTTCCAATCTTGAATATGCAGGGGAAAAATGTCAACATGAAGGTTGATAATGAGCTTGGCAGATGTTATTGACCACAACAAACTCCATAGAAATTCATCAGAGAAAGATGGGACAGATGTTTTGCAAATGAAGTGTGGAACTGGGCCTCAGCCCTTTCTCCTTAACTACTTGTTTCCAGTGAAGGCTCAAAAGGAATGGTGGGAGTAGAATCCTCCCTTTGGCTAGGCTAACTGTGTTATCTCCATTCACCCAGAGATAGCCACTCTCCAGCCCTGCCCCCCCGCCCCCCCCCCAGCTCTTCCCAAGGACTCTATGCCCACTGCCCTCCCACTTTCCTTCCTCAGCTGACATCACCTTCTTCTCACCACATCGTGTCCCATCTGCAGCAGCGTCCAGCTTGGAGCGACAAAAGCCTTTCACTGAGCACCACAGTGTCTGGCAAACATTCTGGAAAATAAATGTGAGGTTGTGTGTTTCTGCATTTTCAAAACTTACACAAAAGCATTTCTACAGTGATGGTAAAGTATGCACACACTCACCCACATACCCACAATAAATGCTGCTATTGTTAGTGAATGAGTGATGGGATGTAATCATGCAAGAACCCTGGTTCCAAACTTAATTTGGACTTTGTCATCATTCATAAACGGTGGTCTCTAGACTACACTAGGCAATAAGAAAATGGCAGATAAAACACAACTCCTAAGAGTTGAGACTAATTTCTACATGTGTGGCACGATATCATTGCCCTTAGCCAGGGTAGCTGGTGATATTAGCCACCAAAGCCCAATCTAAACTGGATGGAAGGAATCTGATTACAAACAGCTGGGGTGGTTATCACTTGAGGCTCACTGAATGGAAACTATTCCATTCAGAAAGCCTCAACTTATTTACTTAATACTCAAGGTAACCAGCTTGTTTTATCTGCCAGAGAGTGAACTGGATATTCCCTCTCAGTTCTCCTCATGTAGTAAGAACAAGGGAAGGGTGACAACATTCTTATGTGTCATCTGAAATGGTTCAGCTGCTTCAGTCCACCTTTAGACTTTCTTCCATCCACCCATCATCCGTTGTTCCATCCACTTATTGTACTCTAGATTCAATGTGTTTTTTTAATCAGAAGATTTCATAATTTTTAACAATTTTAGAAAATTCTCAACCTTTACTTCTCTAAATTTTGCCTTTCCCTCATTATCTCTGTTCTCTCTTTCCAGAACTCATAATTGTTGTTGATGAGTCTTCCCATTCTGTCCTTCATGTTTCAACTTCACTTTCATATTTTTTAGCTCTCAATTTTCTTGTCTATGAAAATTGAAAGAGTCTGGATTTCTATCAGGAAAAGGCTAGCCTCTCCCTCATCTAATAACTCTGAGAAACACTCAGGTGGAATGGGAAGTAATTTTCTCAGCCCTAAATTCCAGTTGATTGATTTTCTCTTTAAGCTGTGTCAAGTGTGCTGTGTAACCCCTCCGCTGAACTTAAAGTCAGTGCCCATATTTTTCATTTCTAGTGGCTGTAACTGTCTTCATATCTACTTTACAAATATCTTATAGTGTTTTTTTGCTTTTCTCATACACATTCTTTTACACATTTATTTTATTATCCGTACCTTAAAAATTCAATTATCAAAAGTCCTTGAGGGTTTATGGTCTCTCTCACTTGACTGAAGATAGACTATTTTAAATTTTGAACTAGGGGCTGAATTGTGAACTCATTTGAACAGAGCTTCATCTGTTGGAGTTTTGTGTGTCCTTAGCTGAGTGTTGCTTCCTCCAGGGTGGTTTTTTAACCTTTGTTTCTACCAGGAATCCCATGGTATTACTAGGTCAGAAATATTTTTATTTTTTGGCATGGGGATTCTCAAACCATACAAAACTATAAATCTGAACTCTAAATTGACACCAGGCTGGCCTGCAGTAGAGAATTTTCAAGTGAGAAAGTTATCCACCAACACCCCTGCCCATCAAAACACAGGCTGAGATAAAAGATGCTTCTCCATCATCTCCCTCAGTTGATGGTGGATTTCTTCCAGTCCACCCCTTCACCGAGGCACAGCTCTTCAAGGCTCCCAGCCTCATGTAGGGGTGTCAGTTCTAACTCCCTGTCCTGAACATATCATTGTCTGTGGCCATGTGGATGGGAAAATCTTTGGTTATCTCCACATCAGCTTCAACATGCTTCTCACTCCCCTTTTTAGTTTTTTTTCCCCCCAGAGAATTTTTTTTTTACTTTCTTATAAGTTCATTATTCATTTATAAAGAATGATGTTCTGGGTGAAGGGGACGCAAGAACTCTCTGTACAATTTTTGCAACCTCTTTTGAGTTGTAAATTATTTCAAGATAAAAAAGTTATAATAAAGATGATGCTATATTCTCTGATATTTTAGGTGTTTTTTTTTAAATATTGAAAATGATTAGGTTATCTCGGCTGCAATATGCAGGGGTCTGAAGTCTTCATTCACTTATCTATTGAATGCCTACTATGTGCTAGGCACTGCTGAATGCCAGGAATAAAATTCCCTCAGAGAGCTTACAATATAGAAGGGGAGGGCATAGACAAGTAAAAAGCAACTCTAATATCTTCTAATAAAGGCTTTGAAAAAAAAATACAGCATAGGATATGAAATGATGTTTAAGCTGAGACCCAAATGATGAGTCAGAGGGATGGTCCAGAGGAAACAGAGCAGGCAAAGTTCTGGAGGTAGTATGAAGCGCTTTCAGGGCATGAGGTTGTTCAGTATGGATAACCATGGAGTATAAAAGAGGAATTGACCAGAGATAGCCAGAGTGGTCTGTTGCTAGTAAACTACAGGATACTCTGAAAACTCCTTACCTCTATAAGACATCTAAAATCCTGGATAAAATATTTTAAATGTTTAAATGCATTCCTGAGTTGGCAAGAAAGTAAGAGAAATCTTCAGAGGCTAAAAATGTAGCAGAAATGTTAATCTGGAAATGCGAACCTGGTACCTTAGATCTTAATTTTAATGGTCACTTGGGTACAAGAGACAATGCCTAGGGCCTAGGTAGGGTGGGAAGTTGGATTGGAGACACCCATACGAGGCCATAACCCCAAAGGACTATGCCCATAATGAAAGAGTGAAAGAAAATAAACCTAGGGACATAGCTTGGAAACTTGTCTGTTTTAACTCTAACTCTAGAAGGAGTGGTAAAATGTTACCCTTGAGAGTTTGTATCCGCACTGGCCCTCACACCACTCATGTAGTCAGTGGAACAACATCCAACCAATAATTTATTTTAAATTGACCCAGAGATGGCAGTGAAAATTCTCTCTGAAAGATTGTGCCAGCCATCTAGGCCTTAAAGAATAGCCTAACATGAAGTTTCATAACCAAGAGCTCACAATGAAAGCAAAAATTGACAAAAGGAAATAATGCATAATAAGTGAGAGCCAGAAGAAATCCCCAAAAGGAGAAACAGAGCTACATAGACCCTGGGCATTGGAATTACCCAACATAAATTGCAAAATAAATGTGTCATATATGATTAAAGAAATAAAAGATCATATTGAAAGTTTGAATTAGGAACAAGAGACCATAAAAATCAGAGAAAATTTAGAAAAATAACCAAATAGACTGTCATAAGTGAAAAATACAATACATGAGATTAAAAAGTCAATAGACTGGTTGTACAGAGGATTGGACATATCTGAAGAGAGAACTAGCAAATTGGAAACTAAAGAAAGAAATGACACAAAATGCATAGATATAAAGAGATGAAAAATATAAGGAGAGGTTCTAAGATATGGAAGATTAGTGATAAAAATCCAACATACATATAATCAGAATACCGGATTAGAGAGTGGAGGGTTAAAACAGTATTTTAAGAGATAAGGCCAGAGACTAAATAGGATGAATCCTGAAACCCCTTTTAAGCCATTTTAGAGAATTTGAACTTTATTGTAAGGGAATGGGGAGGCTGTGAAACATTTTAATCAGAGGGGAACACAATTAGATTTCCATTTATAAAGGTCACTTTGGCTGCATTTTGAGGACTGGATCAGAATCGAGGGGACGTGGTTAGACTCCAAGCAAGGAGCCCAATCAGAGGACTCCGCAGTCATCTAGGAACAGGTAGATTTTAGAGATATTGAGGAGGCAGTATCGGTACAACTTGGTAAGCAGTTAGAAGTGAGGGGTGAGGGAGTTTTATACCGACTTTATTTTCTCTGTTCGGTCTTGCCTGTTCTGTCTAAGCACAGTTATTTACTTCCTCCTCAAAGTTCTTTCTATGCATCTCTTTTTGTATTTATCTCACTGTATACAAATTTTTCTGTCTGCCTCTTCCACCAGAGCAGGAGCTCCTCAAGGGCAGAGAATTTGTCTTATTAAGTTCTGAGTGCTCATCTTTCTCATCTTAGTCAGTTCACAGCACAGAATCTGGTAGGGGTTCAAGGAGACTGGCTTGCCCATGTCTGTGTCAACACTGACACTTTTGCACTAAATGGGATGAGTTCAGAGAAGAGGCAAGATCCAGATTACAAAGGAATGGCTCACAAAGGAGTTGGAACTTTATCCTGTGGTCAGTGGGGGCCCTAAGAGCAGAGTAAAGCCACGGTTAGATTTGTGTTTTTCTGAAGTGACTTGAGCAACAATTTGAATGGGGAAGAGACTAGGTAATTACAACAGCAAGGAGAGATAGTGAGAGACTGAATCAGGAGAGCAGCAGTGGGAACGGAGAAGACAGAACAGAGCCACAAACTCTTTAGGAGGTTAATTGTCAGGGCTTGACTTACCATTTGGATGTTGAAAATAAAGGAGAAGAATGAACTGAGGATGACTCTTATTCCTACCTTGGGGTCTGGTGGTGCCTCAACCAGATGGGAAATTCAGGACGGGGAGCAACCTTTGGTTGCTATGGAGTCTGCAGGTGTGAATTACTGTGATTCTTGAAAATCACTACAGAATTTTCTTCACCACTACCCAGTTGCAAAGGATTGCTGGCTCCATGGAATACCAGGGTCAAGGTCATAGAACACCAGAGGGAGGGTCAAGAAATATAAAGAACCCCAACTTCAATCCTTCTGCCTTACAGACACCTTGCCATGAATAGAAAGTTTCCATTTCTGTGTCTAGATCTTTGGGTTTCCAAATATTTCCCTGCCCCTTCCTTCAGCATGCTGGAGATCTTAGCCCTGAAGATACCCGCCAGAGGCACCAAGATGCCCAAGACTTACTTCTACTTCCTGGCAGAAGGTAGCATTGGGGCCATACTGCAGCTGGCATTGGTGGTGAACATCATAGATCACTCCAGGGGCAATGATCTTGGACTTTAAGCCTTTCTTTTTGGGGATGTCATCAAGACAGAAGCCCCAGCCGCGGCTGAAATAAGTTAACAGAGATAAGAGCAGTTGCTTATGATTTCCTTCATCTTCAGTCTTTCATTCAACAGACTTCCATCCCTCTAGTTTACTCATTGTCCTTCAAGACAACTTTATTTCTATAAGGCAGAGAACCCTCTAGGCTGAAGGTGGGCGTTGTCTAAAAGGAGATGCACATCACGTCCCACACCATCAGTTCAATTATGATCCAGGGAATACAAGCAGTGGTAAAATTGGAAAATCATCATCTTACCCCCAATGGGGTTTTGGTGACCACCTCTGACATATCCTGCTTGTTCCTGCCAGTCCCCAAGGACTTAACACACCCAGGTAAACAAAGAGCCACCTTGAGACAGGAACAAGCAGGGGGTAAACGATGTTCACCTGGCTGTGGCTGGAGGGCAGAACCCACCTGGATCTCAGGATCAGAAAGTAGAAGTGAAATCCACCCCTTCTGATGCCACCCTGATGCTGTGCCTGTGAGAGGAACTGAGCCTTTTCCAGTCCTCAGATCCTTTGTGTAAAATTCAAAGTGACTTCCAGTTCAAAGAGACCCCAGTAAGGCTCTCCCAAGACGCATTGTCACCTACTCCAGGAAGCGGGTGATATACTCCTTGCTGCACTGGGACCACGTCAGCGGGCTGGGATTGTACTGGAGCTGGCGGGACATGATGAAGGGGTGCCGGCCCACGGGCTCACAGTCGTTTTCTTTCCCGTCATGCTGGATGCCGAAGCTGCAGGAAGGCACAAAGCACAAGAATATCAAGAAGGTAGCATGAAACAGGGAGAAAACCTTCATTTTTCCAGGGTGAAAATAGCCCACAGACAGCAACTTTTTAAGAAGGCGTCTGTTTACAAAGTAGGACTTTGAAGTTGGAGAGGGACAGCTAACTTTGAACTACAAAGCACAGGAGCATTTTAGGCATCCTTTGCCTCAAATATGCAACCATGGGAACCATGCGGCTAATTCAAAAACTTCCGTTTGGGAGAAAGCTACGAGCTCCCGGTTGGCTTTCTAGGAGTCTAGAGTCAGCAGAGTCCAGCTATCTTCTTTCTCCTGCTGCAGCAACCACAGCACAAAAGAAGAAAACTCCCTTCTCCCTTTTCATCATGATTGAAGGGAGAGCATGAAGGGGGAAGCCTATGGGAGACTTTGTCAAAGGCCACAAGCTTTGAGTGACTGGATTTCTTTCTAGTATTGTTATCAGAGTCCTCCAATATCAGAGACATTAGGGGGACCTCATAGTTCAGTGCTTAAGAGCTGGATTTGAATCCCAGCTCTGCCACTCAGTGATCTGTGAGTTACTGAATCTTGCTCAGCTTCATTTTACTCTCCTACAAAATGGGATAATCCTCACAGAGCTAGGATGAGAGCTGAATGAAATCAAGTTTGAAAACCACGCAGCAAGGCGCCTAGCATAGAATAAGGGCTCCAAAAATGACAGAAATTTTGTACCGCTGTTTTTATCAGTAACTAGTTTATCTTCCTTTTCTAGATGAGGAAGTTTAGAGTTTGAGATTTATCAAAAGTCACAAAGCTAGGGGCCGGCCCGGTGGCACAAGCGGTTAAGTGCGCGCACTCAGCTGCAGCGGCCTGGGGTTCGCCGGTTTGGATCCCGGGCGTGCACCAACGCACCGCTTGGCAAGCCACGCTGTGGCGGCGTCCCATATAAAGTGGAGGAAGATGGCCACCGATGTTAGCCCAGGGCCAATCTTCCTCAGCAAAAAAGAAAAAAAAAAGTCACAAAGCTATTTAGGGGCAAAACCAGTCTTCTGCAGATCTTTGTGCTCCTATTTCGGTGTCCTCGTCCATGTCCTGTTTGGTCTGCTTGCTGACCTCTCATTGCCAGGGCTGAGCAGGTGAAGAAGCTTAAAAGGCCCGAAAGAGCTTAACTGTCCACCATGGCAAGAGGGCTCCCGGAAAGAAGGAGACTCCGGAGTGTGTTACAAGCCAAGTCCTCAGGATCACCCCCAAGGTGCCTTCTGAAATTTCCATAAGAACTCTCTCCACTGGACTCTGCTTATTGGAGGCTTATAAGCTACAAATTTGGCTCCAATTTTCAAAGCTGAACAGACAAAAGTTTGACCTTTTACTCTGTTAGTGAAATTCAACCCCTCTGACACGGAAGCTCATCTCCAACTTTAATAAAATCTCCTGATCAGCATTAGCAACTCTTGCAGGGAATAGTCTTTGGGGGATTTAGAGATTTTCTTGTATTTTTTTTTAATGCATTAAGATGTTATCAATTTACTTACAGACTCTGATCACATTACCCATGAATACAAAACTCACAAAGGAGTCAGAGAATTAATCTACAAAGCTCTTACCACCCGCCCACAAAGAATGTGATTCAATGAAAGCTTTTTTCCGAGCAGGCCTTACCCAGGGTGTTGCAAATCCAGTCCTACTCAGTTCAGGAAGTATTCCACAAGTTCACCTGTTCAATACCTAGTAAAAATCCTAAACTGTAAGCATGGTTCTAAAAACCTGCATGAATAATGATTTTTCTAGCATTGGCTATTCCAACACGACAAGCCATACGGCTGAATCCTGTACACCGAGTGGCTTCAAACCTACCCTCAAAATATTTCAGTTCCCCAAAAGCTCATTTTGTTCCATCTAAAGTTTTTCATTCATTAAAATATTTTCCCCTCCAGCTTTAGCACCCCTCTGGACTCCCATCTTATGAGAGAAAAGCAGTGCTACTAAAGAAGCATCTCTCTGGACTGTGACTACTATATCTAAGTGGGTGGAGCACTCCCGTCACATGGGACCAGTGGGTCCATGAACAGCGAGGGACAAGGAAAGCACATGGGGCCGTAGGGATGGAAGGTTTGTTCCTAGGAAGCTACTTTCTAGCAGGTGGGATGGAACCTGGAGAGCAGCTGGGAGTAAAGAGCCCCCTATGGTCTGAAACAATTTATAGGGTATAGGATTAGCCTGTTTTACTTCCTCTTTGTGTTTCAACTCCTGTTAGATGGGTCTGCTAAATTATAGACACAAAATAGCAAGTTAGGTAGCTGCCTGGATTTCAGGCTATCACTTGGTGGAATATACCCATTTCTTGCCTTTTATTACCATTTTATGGTGGAGTGGAACCAGCAGAGAATAAGAACCATGAAAGTGTGAACGTGAGCATTTTTAGCTCATTCACGGGATACCAATTTTGTATACGCAACGAGCAAAGCTCTGTAAATGAAATACCCCACAATCCAGGAGAGGGGAAAATATTGGGTGGATATCGCATTTTAAGTGTTCATCTATATCATGATATTTTCATTACTTAAAAGGAAAGGATGCTAAGCCTTAGATAGGTTTTTAAATTTCCTCCTGGAATTCCAACTTTATCTTTGGTAACTCATCTAGGAGTCTAATAAGGGTGTTACAAAATCTTAGGTATGGATGATTGATATAATCCAGGGTCCTTGTAAATGGAATTTTTAAATGTTTTCTCTCAAAATAAAAGTGAGATTATGGCACTTAGGCCATAGCACAAGTTAGTTAACTTCATTTTCTATTTTGCATCATACACAATCAGTGATGACACAATTTTTCAAGAAACAATGGGGTATCTTTGTTATTAAACTATAATGAGTGTCTTTTTGGGATACTGGCTTATTATATTTTTCTTTCTCTGGGCTGCCATAGGTCATTTCCTTGATTTGCCCAGTGTTTCTGAGTTTGGACCAGAGCTAATCAGAACTAGACAGTTAAAGAAAGAAATAATACCTCAGAAGCATCTTTTGCTATGAGTAAAAGTTTCTCAGGAAGTTCCTGAGTCTTCTCTCCTTTGGTTTTGTGGCTTACTAAAGCATTTTTTTCTATCACTCAAACTCAAGTTTATGTGTCTCCTTTCCACTTTCTCTTTCTTATCAATGACTCTAAACCTTTTCTATTTGCTTTTGACATTTAAAATACAGTGTTTTATTTAGGTCATTTGTACATAGCCAATGCTCCCCTTTTTTTAATTAAACTTTTTATTTTGAGATAATTGTAGGTTCAGATACAGTTGTAAGAAATAATAGAAAGAGGTCCTGTGTACCCTTCACCCACTTTCCCCCAATGGTAACTAACACAATATCACAACTAGGATTTGACATTGATACAATCCAGACACAGAACATTGCATCACCACAAGGATCCCTCATGTTGCACTTTATAGCCACACCCACTTCCTTCCCTCCCCCATTTCCTCCTTAAACCCTGGCAGCCACTAATATGTCCTCCATCTCTATAATTTTGTCATTTCAATAATGCTATATAAACGGAATCATACAGTATGCAACCTTTTGGGATTGGCTTTTTTCACTGAGCATAACTGTTTGAAGATTCATCAAGGTCACTGTGAGTATCAACAGTTCATTCCTTTTTATTACTGACTAGTAGTCCATGGTATGTACCCATCACAGTTTATTTAACCATTCGCCTGGTTGGGTTGAAACAATCTCTGATTGATTCTGGTTTTTGGCTACTAAGATTAAGCTTCCATGAACATTCATGTAAAGGTTTCTGTGTCAGCACACATCTTCATTTTTCCAATATAAAGGCCCAGGAGTACAACTGCTCAAAATTATAGCAGCTGCAGGTTTAGTTTTTTACAAACTGCCAAACTGTTTTCCGTAGTGCTTGAGCCATTCTGCATTCTCGCCAGCAATGTAGGAATGATCCAGTTTCCCTGCATCCTCGCCAGCATTGGGGGATATCCGTGTTTTTTATTTTAGTCATTCCAACGTGTGTTGTGATATCTCATGTTTTAATTTGCATTTCCCTGATAGCTAGTGATGTTGAATATCTTTTCATGTGTTTACTTGCCATTTGTATATCCTTTTTGGTAAAATGTTTTTTCCTGTCTTTTGCCCATTTTCTAATTGTACTGTTTGTGTTTTTACTATTGAGTTTAAAAGTTGTTTATATATTCTAGATATTAGTCCTCTGTTGGATATATGGTGTAGTAGTTTTCTGGAGCTGCCATAAAAATTACCGTAAGCTCGGTGCTTAAAATGATAAAAATTTATTTTCTCACAGTCCTGAAGGACAAAGTCTGAAATCAAGGTGTCAGCAGCACTATGCATTCTCTGAAGGCTCAGGGGAGAATCTTTGTGACTCTTCTAGGTTCTAGGTTCTGGTGACTCCAGGCTTCCTTGACTTGTGGCAGCAAGACTCTAACCTCTGCCTTTGTAAAGAAGACCTTTACATGGTCTTCTTCCCTTTGTGTCTCTGTGAGTCCAAATCTCTCTCTCCAGTCATTAGATTTAAGGCCCATCCTAAATCTAGGGTGATTTCATCTTGAAATTCTTAACTAATGACATCTGCAAAGACTCCATTTCCAAAGAAGGTTACATTCTGAGGTTCCAGGTGGGCACTAGTCAACTCACCACAAATTGTTTGCAAATATTTTCTCTCATGCTGTAGCTTGTCTTTTCATCTTCTTAAAAGAAACAAAAGTTTTTAATTTTTTTTTCCAGAGAAGATTAGCCCTGAGCTAACATCTGTGCCAATATTCCTCTATATTTTATATGTGGGTCTCTGCCACAGCATGGCTGATGCGTGGTGCAGGTCCACGCCCGGATCCGAACCTGCGAACCCAGAACAGCGAAGGGGAGCACACTGAATGTAACCACTATGCCCAAGGCCAGCCCCAAAAAAGTTTTTAATTTTGATGAATCCAATTTTTAAATGTTTCCTTCTATGGCTTGCACTTTTGATGTCAAGTTTAGAAACTCTGCCTTGCCTAGCTCTACATACTGAAAGTTTTCTCCTATTTATTTTCTAAAAGTTTTCTAGTTTTAAAAGTTACATTTAAGTCTGTGTTCCATTTTGAGATAATTTTTGCATCTGGTGTGAGACTTAGGTAGAGATTCTTCTCATATTTTTTTATTTTTGCCTATGGATGTCCAAATGCTCCAGCACCATTTGTTGAACAGGCTATCTTTCCTCCATTGAATTGCTTTTGCACCTTCATCAAAAAATCAGTTGGGCATACTTGTTTGGGACTATTTCTGCATTCCATTGTTCTGTGTGTCTATTCCTCTGCCCGAATCACAGGATCTTGGTTACTGCAGCTACATAATAAATCTTGAAATATTGTAGGCTGATTCTTCCTGCTTTATTATTCTTTTTTGAATTGCTTTACTTATTCTGATTACTTTGCCTTTCCATATACATTTTAGAATAATTTTATTATATCTCAAAAAATTCTTGCTGGAATGTTGATAGAAATATCATTAAACTTTTATATTTATTTGAGGAGAATTACATCTTTACTATGATGGGTCTTCCAATTCATGAACACGGTATGTCTTTCCATCTATTTAGATCTTCTCTGATTTCTTTCCTCAATGTTGTGCAGTTTTCAGTATACAAGTCCTGAACGTGTTTTGTAACATTTATAAGTAAAATATATAATACTTATATGTAAATATTTCATATTTTTGAGTGATTATGAAAGGTATTGCATTTTTAATTTGTGTCCACCTGTTCATTGCTAGTATATATGAATATGATTGGTTTTGTGTGTTTATATTGTATCCTGCGAGCTTATTAGCTCTAGTTTGTGGGGGGTTTTCTACAATAACAATGATGTTATCTGTAAATAAGGCTAGTTTTATACCTTCCTTTCCAATTTGTCTGTATGTCTTTTATTTCCTTTTCTTGCCTTATTACACTGGTTAAAACTTCAATCTTTTTTTCTTTCTGTTCCTCAGACTTGATCATTTCCATTGTCCTATCTTAAAGTTCCCTGATTTTTCTTCTGTCTGCTCAAATCTGCCACTGAATCCCTCTAGTGAGTTTTTCATCTCAATGACTGTACTTTTTAGCTCCAGAATTTCTTTTTGGTTTCTTTTTAGGTTTTTTTATCTCTTTATTGATATTTCCATTTTGTTCATACTTCATTTTCTTGACTTTCTCCATATCCTCCTTTAGTTCTTTGAGCATCTTTAAGGCAGTTGTTTTAAAGTCCTTGTCTAGTATATCTGCCATTAGGTCTTTTTCAGGACAATTTCTGTTGATTTATTTTTTCCTTTGAATGGGTCATACTTTCCTGTTTCTTTGTATGCCTTGTGATTTGTGTGTGTGTGTGTGTGTGTGTGTGTGTGTGTGTGTCTGTATGGAAAACTGGACATTTGAATCTAATAATGTGGTAACTCTGGAAACCAGATTTTTGCCTTTCCCTAGGGTTTGCTATTTTTTGTTATTGTTTTTGTTTTTTTGGTTATTGTACGTTGTCTCCATGCAAAGGATCAACCTGAAGTGTAAACTTACAGTCTTCTTAGGTCTTTTCTGAGCCTTTCCCTGGGCATGTGTGGTCACTTTCTAATTTCTCCATTTATGTAAGTGTTTTTGAAAGTCTTAGTCTTTATTGTCTGTCTCACAAAAGGGGCAAAAGAAAAAAATAGAGATGGGAAAAAAGGGTGCCAGCCCTTTAAATCCTCTGACAGTCACTTCAGCCAAAGGAGGAGGGGCTTTCTACAATGGGGGAGGTGCAACAACAATGGCTGCCCACCTCTTTGTTTGCATCTCTGTGATCAGAAGCAGCCATCAGCCATCAGAGCACAAATCCCCAATATCTGGAGGACAAATATCAAAATATCAAGCTGATTCAGGTAGTGGCCCACTTATAGTCTGTTAAATAATCCACCACTTCTGATAACCAGTAAATATCTACAACTTTTTGTTTTCAAGTATTCAGAGAAACTGTGCTCAAGTAATGTTACCAAGAGGTTCTCACCTTTATTGGAGAATTTCCAAAACCTGAAAGAAGGATCATACTTGCCCTTGGCTTTATTTACTTAGGTGGCTTTCCTCACAAAGGTGATACATCCATGTCCATGCCAACGATTAGCTCAGAAATTGGGGCAATGCTGATTTTGTAGAACCTGCTTAGCATATTTCTGAATCTCTTTACAATATCAAGTTGAATTGAGGATATAAGGGATCCATTCTTTGAACACAAGTAGTGAGCATTTGAGAATGTCTTTTTTTTTTTTTTTTGTGAGGAAGATCAGCCCTGAGCTAACATCCACGCCAATCTTCCTCTTTTTGCTGAGGAAGACTGGCCCTGGGCTAACACCTGTGCCTATCTTCCTCCACTTTATATGGGACACTGCCACAGCATGGCCTGACAAGCAGTGCATCGGTGCACGCCTGGGATCTGAACCCAGGCTGCCAGCAGCGGAGCGCATGCACTTAACCACTACACCACGGGGCCGGCCCTTGAGAATGTCTTTTATCAAGAAAGTCTTCTCAACTTTTCTTTAGCTTGGGTATACCATTGCTGGGAAGGTCTTCAGCAATCACTTCTCGGTGTGACCTAGTTATATTCACTTCACATTGCTTGGCCAGCAGGTGCTGCTGACATCAACGACTTGATGAAGGCGGCAGGGAACATATCCCTCCTTGTATCTGGATTGAGGACACCTATATGTTTGCACCTAAGAATAACTTTCATTTTGCCAAGTTTTATTATCAACATGCCAACAACTATGGCCTGGTTTTTTCAAGACCCAGCATTCTGTCCCCAGTCATTATTTAATTATAAGTAAGTCACTTAACATCTTTGAATTTTTGACAGCTAAGCATACTAGAATGTATCACATTTATCTCCCAGGACTTTTTGGTAAGCATCAAAGAAATCACAGTACCTAAGAAATTGCCTAGTTTAACCCACTCATTTCACAGATAAGGAAACAGGTGCAGAGAGGTGAAGGCAATTATCTAAGGTCATAATATCGGCTGATGAAAAAGCCAGAATAAGCACTCATTCTTCCCAACTCCCAAGGCAATACTCCGGTTTTGTACAGCAGGTAAAAGTATTTTTGAAAAGTTCCAGTATTACATGGGAAAAATGTTGAGAAAGCTCAGCCTAGAGAGGCCAGGCCTGGAATAATCCAGTCTCCAGGGCTCTTCCCAATCCCATCTCTTTTCTGGCTGTACACTCAGAGTATGCCTCAGTGTTCTGCTTCCTTCTTCAGAGGGAGGAGATCCAGGCTGGTGGCTACATGACAGGAAGGGGGTATAGTTGAGCCATTTACATGGCTCCCCAATCTGAGTTTTTAATTAGTATAATGCTTTATTACTTGTGGTTAGTAAATACACCAAAAAATGAAGTTACAAATAAGCTAAGACCTTTCCTCCAGGGAAACCTCTGATACCTGGAGAATCTAGGATACTCATTATCCCTTCAATCAAACATTCTGAAACCTGCCTTCAATGAATTCATCTAATCAAATTCACACATTTTTGTGACAACTTGGACCTCCCTTTAACTGGTGTTTGCTTGACACCATTATACAGCAGTTTTCAATTTCTTCTTTACTCAATGTTCTCCTTTAATACCTGTAAGTAAATGTGGCTGACAATAGTATTTACTTCATAATCTTGTTGAGAGAATTCAATAACACAACACAAAGTGTTGGCACAAAGTAAGGGCACAAAAATGTTAAGCTTTGTGACTTTTTAGTGATATTAATGTTATTAGTATTTCATAAGAACTAAACAGGGATTGTTACACCTGAATTAATCAACTGAGTTAAAGCTTATCTCCTTGTCTGTGCTCAATCCATTCTAATTCAGAGAACTGTAGTGGCCTCTTTGATTCCGTGATGTAGATGGGTATAAGTGGTCAGGGCAGAGGAGACATTGCAATCTTTAAAGGGTGTGATTATCCCCAGTTTACAGATGAGGAAGCAGAGGTTTAGGAGGATGAACCTCAAGTCACAATGCAATCCGACTCTCCTGATGCCCCATTTAAGGTGTTTCCCATTCTTTCTACCGATATTGATGCATGAACATGGCAAGGAGATCTCAGTTTCCTTAACCCTTTACCTGTGTCCGAGCTCATGGGCAATTGTGAAAGCCAGAGGGAGTCCAGAATCTTCATTGATGTTACAACTCCGGTGAGGCTGGCACATTCCCGATAGGTGGGAGAGACCCAGGGTCTCACAGGGGCGATTAACACCAGCACAGATGTCTTTTCTGAAAGTAGAGAATAGAGATGCGTAGGTGCCCAAAGACACATCTACAAAAACCCTACTGGAAAAAACCTAGGTGTTAATCCACATTCCATAAAGTCTGTAAAGTATGATTAAAAATTTTTTTTAAGTCCATATGAATGTAGGGAGCAATTTTGAATTCACTAAGATTATTCAGATTTTACCTCTTGATTATTAAATCTCACTAACACCTAAAAAATGAGGGAAAATACGGCAAATGCCTTATTTTGAGTTGCTTTTGCTCTTAATCTCAGGAGGCCAAATTGTATTATTTGGCCAAAAATAGAAAGATTTGATTGAAAATTGAAGCTAATTTGAACTTTTCAATAGGGAAGGGACAACAAGCAGTGGCTGAGGTTTTTCAAATATAAAAGCACTTTTCAGTCTTTCTGAGTTCTGTACTCAAAACTCATCTGAGAAATTTTTCTCATTCATGAAAAAGGCAGTGGTGCCATCAACCCATCCAGAGATCAAATCAGTTGTCTCTCCAGCCCTGTTACCCTAACAATATTGCATTGGGAGGGGATGTGTGGGCCACACGCACGCACACACACACAGAGGCATCTTTACCTTTCCTCTTTTCACCAGGACCTCACTATTTCCCTACCCCAAAAAATAAAAAAAGGAAAGACTCCTAAGACCTCACAAAATACTAGTTACAGCTTTTAAATATAAAAACGTGCTCCCATATCCTGGTAGCCTTTATTTCAATCATTGACAAGAGTTTTGAAAGAGTCGTTAATTAGTCATTTGGCTTTCTTCAGTTCGAGAAGAGCTTTTTGTCAAGAATGATGGCACAAATGCCAAAAAGGTTCTGAGCTTCAGTTATTTGCAGACCTTCAATTCATGGGGTTTGTATGGGCACCATTTCTTGCAACAAATAGTCTTTTTTTGTGTGTCCATTGAGCCATGGAAAAGATCCAGGCTTTGAGAAACCCTGAAAGTTTTCAATTCTCCAGGAGGCAGTGGCTGGGACATGGGGTAGGAGAGAGCAGTTTCCATCTCAAAACACACGCAACAGACACGAATCCTCACCTCCACTAACAGCAGTGGTTGCTGGGTGGTTCCCTGTTGGAGAGCTAGATTGCATGGATCATATAGCCCATCATTCTAAATAATTTCTGAGTCTGTAGGAGGACCAACTAAACACTTCCACCCCTACTGCAAGATGTGCTTGTTACTGTTTCATTCAAAAAGTCTAGGTCTGCATGGAGCTGCTGAGAAAAGATGAATGGTGCTCACTGCTAATCCACCAACCTTCTCACGTTGATAGTGCAGGAAGTTAGGTCCATTAAATAACTATTTATTGAGTGCCTACTAAGTATCCAGCACTAAAGGGGAAAAAATTGGGGTAATGAAAGAATTGTAGGATTATGGTTCTGGTAGGCAAGGAGCTTAATCTCCCAAAAGGAGATTAGCTCTACCTCCACTTTCCACTGGGGATAGTATAAGAGAAAATCTTCATATGCAGCTACTAGCCCCATTTCATGGAGCGTGTTCAAGCCAAATCCATCTTCTGCTGACTGCAACTCTATAGAAAACTCTGTTAAAGTGGATCTCAGCGTAGTCCTCCAGAGGCAAATCTCAGTCTTATACCTCCTTCCTTTCCTGATCCTACCTATTTCTTCAGACCAGAGGTTCTTAACAGGGTGTGATTTTGCTCCCCACCCCCTCCTAGGGGACATTTGTCAATATCTGGAGATGGTTTTGATTGTCACAACCTGGAGAAGGGTGCTATTGGCATCTCATGGATAGATGGCCAGAGATGCTGTTAAATATACTACAATGCACAGGACAGCCCCTCACAACAAAAGTAATCTGGCCAAGGTTGAGAAATCCTGCTTTAGAACTTGAAAGACGCTCCACTGTCTGGCAGCTGGTTCGACTCATCATAGCTTGAAACCAGACCCCTGTTCTAAGGAAGAAAAATTATCATAATAATTAAAAAAGGAAAGCAGATCCTTCATATTCTTATTGGGTAATAGTTAAGAGTGTGGCTATTGGGGTGAAACTACTTAGATTTAAGTCCTAGCTGGACCTGTTAGCAATGAGATTTTGGGCAAGTGACATAACCAAGCCTCAGTTTCTCCAGAGTTGTCGTGGGGATTAAGTGGAATGATGATTGTCCTAATAGATGTAGCATAGTGCTTGGCCCATATCAAATGCTTCACAAATGCCAGCTATCATTAACTTATTCGTTGCTTCATGTGAGAATGAGGGGAGATGCTGCTTCTGCTTTCAGGGAAAGAACAGAAACAGAGCTGAGACACAGCTGCCAATGCTGGTCCCAGAATCCAGGATTCTTTCCTAGAGACAGGTCCTGTCTGGACTGAAGTCTTCCCCCAGTTTTTGTCCAGGTCCTCAGTGCTCCCTGGCTGCCTGCTGGCTCCCCAGAGCCCCTGTGCTTACATTCCACACACACACACACACACACACACACACACACACACACACACACACACCAACCTATTCCCCTGGGAGCTACTGATCAACCCAAGGTGCCATAGGTCCTAAGGAACCTAATGTAATAGGTTTATGCCACAGACTTCTTTTGGAACATGTTTGCATTCAACCAAAGTTTTGATACTTTCACTCAAAAGAGTGACTCTGATTGTTGGAGTTTCAGCTCAGGGTAGGGCAGACATTTAGATAGGGTGGGGTTGATTATCATCTCTTATAGGCATCCTATGCACTGGGATGATCCTGTCAAAGGGACAGATGATAGGCCAAAATGTTCAGGGGCAGCCTGTCCTCTCCAAGGAAAATACACACCCAGGGCCTTCCAGTGCATGAGGTTTTCTGTGGCTGAAGGGCCAGGCCAAGAGGCCTCCTCTACTACACATTCCTGGATTTCTGTCTGTCTCTGAATCGGCATAGGAGTGCCCAGTGAGACCTGACTTCCCCCCATTAAGGTAAGCCCTTCTTTTGTCTAGATTAAAATCATGTCTGGTATATTATAGGTGCTCAATAAACATTTACTGACTCAGTGAGCAAACATAGCTTCCCAAGAGCCTGGGTTGATCAGGAAAATTCACTGGCTTTTCACAGCTTTGAGTCCTGGAAGGTGTGATGATTCATATTAGCACCACAGGGTCTATCTGTAGTCAGAACAACACAGTACCTTCATGAGGGTATAAGGGAGAAAAGCACAAGCAAACCACTCTGCCTATTCAGGGAGGACCTGCTCCCCATGTTCTGCCCTCAACATCAGTCAGGGATGGGTTACAAGGAGGACTGATTTCCGTAGAGATAGCTTCATGTTTCTCAGTTGGAGGAAAATTAAAAAATAAAATAAAAACAAAGGATCAGAAATCCCATGATTAAGAGTTACAGGAGACTTTAATGAGGATCTGCCAACAAGTTTCCTGATTGTTTATAGAACTGCACAGAGAAGCCAATATTAAAGATGAAATCATCTTTGGGATAGGAAAGAGGCCTGCATTTTGCCAGCAGATGCAGTTTATTAACACAGAGAGTTTTGTCACATTTAGCAAGTTTGCTAACTACCCCCTCACTGGTATGGGAGTCAGGAGTTGTTTAGATCATAGAAGCTGCCTTTAAAAACGACCAAGAGCAGCAAAGAGTAGTAAGAATCTCATGAGTCTGAATATCTGGCAACCCTTTCACCTGTCATACCTCCCTGCCTTGCAGCCCCCAGCTTCCACAATAGTCTCTGGGGTACCTGGTGAGAAGGACGGCCACATCATGATGGGCGGGGTTGAGGTCACTCTTGGGATTGATGCTCTTCTGCCACTTGCAGAAGCTGGACAGGGTCTTCTCTGCGTGATGAACTATTTTCAATCCTTGCTGGAGAAAGAGGAGGAAGAGATTGCATGGGTGAGCTTACTGTGGCCAGGGCCCACCACATTAGTCCCCAGAAGCAGCCAAGTGAGATGAGCTCTGAGTGGGTGCCTCAGACACTTGGTAGGAATTTGGCAGAGGCCAACTTACTCTTTTGGGCTAACCCCCAGCTCTAAATACTACCACTCTCATGACTTCCACTGAAAAAAGGAGAGAAATGATCACTGGGACAAGCAGCTCTTGAGGAAAAGTTAAAAATATATTAGCAAAGAGCAACAGCTGTTTGAAGTTCTATTTCTAGTGGCTCTCTGCTTTTTAAGCCAATACAATTCCAAAGAGACATTTTTATTTCTAATGCACAATGAACAGATTTTCAACAAAAGTTTCTTCTTTTCATGAGGTATCCTGCAAGCCTGGGGTTGCAATGAATGTTTCCTTGCCCATGGTTTCCATCTTGGTGAAGGGTGGGTGAAGGGCAGAGGGTGACGTAATCTCTCCAGGCTTCTAACCAGTTAGGATCATTGGTTGTCTGACAACAATTAGGATGCTATAGTAGATGCCCCTGGCCTGCAACTTCAAGGGCTCCTGAGTCATCCACCTGGCTCAGAGTTATTATTGGGGATGGGAGGAGAGTGCTTGTTCCAAATAAACTAGATGAACACTTGTCAAATGGGGGATGAGGAGAAAGGGATAATCAGCTCTAGAGGGACTCCAGTTTAATTTGAATTTCTAAAGGAGAAATTCTTTTCCCTTGCCCCATTTCTTTGGGGTCTCTATACAGAGCCATCCCTGGGACAGGGTGGATTCTACGTGAAGAATGACTACCTCCATTGGCCTACTCTTATCTGAGTCTGTTACTCTGGGCTCAGCCCAAGAACTTCAGTACAGTTTCTGCATCAAACTATGAGCTTGCTTCTCCACTATTCTGTATTTTGCTAAGGCCCACACCCAAATCAAACAAGGCCCGTGAGGATTCAGTTGCCTCTTAGTGGCACTCCCAGGGCCCCCACCCATGCTAATTAATGAGCACAGACCACCTTCCTTTCATGATAACACAGAAAGGTGGTTCATCACTGGTGAAAACTCATCGAACTGCTTAGCATAAACGATTTAAATAGAAGAAGCAGACTTCATTATTCAATAATCCTCATTGTTACATCATCCAGCTGAATGATGTATGGTAGGGGTAGAAGAGGGCTTCTGAGGGATGAGCTGGGCACAGGGGAGTCAGCCTCCTGTTCAACTAGTCAAGCTGTAGTTAGAATAGCAGCCCAACTGGAACAAATGGTCCCCACCCTCATGAAGAACTGGCCAGGTGGTATGAATCGGGAATGGAAGGGAGAGAAGGGAAGGGAAATGGAGAGAGAAAATATTTACTCTGTGCCAGATACTTGCAGACCTCTTCTCTTGTTTAATTTAATTGCATTTGCTCAGCATTATTTGTAAAGAAAGTATTATTAGTTTCATTTCATAATAGGAGAAATGAAACCTCTGAGAAGTGAAGAACCAGCTCAAGATCACTCAGCTCAGATATTGAATCAAAGACTATGAGAACAAGGGCTCCCAGCTGAAGCTGTGGTTCTAGTTGGTGACCAGCCTCACTAGAACGGTGTCTCAGTTCCAGCTCCTTCAGACAGGAAGGCAGATTATGAAACAAAACATCAATTATGATTAGATGTCTTTAAGGTCTGTTTTTAACCCCTACATTTCTTTGAGGTTTTTTGGGGGAGAGGAGGTGCGGGGAGGAAGTCTCTGCAGAGCACTCATTAATTAAAAAATAACTTAATACCACTTAGAATTGTTCCAAAAGAGAGGAAATACTTAGGTATAAATCTAACGAGACATGTACAAGATCTGTATCCCGAAAGTTACAAAACGCTGATGAAAGAAAAGACCTAAATAAATGGAAAGACATACTGTGTTCACAGATTGGAAGATTCAACATATGAAGACGTCTCATTCTCACAAAATTGATCTATAGTTTTATTACAATTCCTATCAAAATCTCAACAACGTCTTTTGTCGACATATGCAAGCTTATTCTAAAATTTATATACAAAAGCACAGGCCCAAGATTAGAGAAATTAATTTTGAAAAAGAAAAATAAAGTGAGATGAATCACTCTACCTGATATTAAGGCTTACTCTATAGTGACAATAACCAAGACAGAGTGGTAGTGGTGGAGGGATAGGCACATAGACCAGTGGAACAGACAAAGAACCCAAATCAGACCCACACAAGTACGCCCAACTGATTTTTGACAAAGGTGAACACAAAATTCAATGTTGAAAGAAAAGATAATCTTTTCAACAACAGTGCTGGAGCAACTGGACGTGAGTCTCGATCTAAACCTCACACTTTATACAAAAAGTAATGCAAAATGGATCATAGATGTAAATGTAAAATGTAAAACTATAAAACTTTTAGAAAAAAATCACAGGAGAAAATCTTGGGGACCTGGAGATAGGCAAAGAGTTCATAGATTTGACACTAATAACACAATCTATAAAAGAAAAAATTGACAAATCGGACCTCATCAAAATTAAAAATGTTTGCCCTGAGAGAAACCTTAAGAAGAGAATGAAAAGACAAGCTACTGAGTGGGGAAAATATTTGTAAGCCATATACCTGACAAAGGACTTGTATCTAGAATATATAAGGATCTCTCAAAACTCAACAATAAAAAAATCAAACAATTGGAAAATAGGCAAAAGACTTGAAGAGACATTTCACTGAAGAGGATACACAGATGGCAAATAAGTACATGATGTTCATCATTAGCCAACAGAGAATTGCAAATTAAAACCACAATGAGATATTACTACATGCTTATCAGAATGACTAAAATTAAAAACAGTGACAGCCCCACGCACTGATGAGAATGTGGCAGACCTGGGTCACTCACATGCTGCTGGTTAGAATGTAAAATGGCACAGCCACTATGGAAAAAATGTTTTTAATTTCTTCCAAAGCTAAAAATGCAAATGCTATATGACTCAGCAACTGTATTCCTGGACATTTATCCCAGAGAACTGAAGACTTACCTTCACACAAAAGCCTGCAGTAGAATGTTTATAGCAGCTTCATTCATGATAACAAAAAACTGGAAACAACCCAAATGTCCCTCAAGAGGGAATAGTTAAACAAACTGATATACACCATGGAATGCTTCTCAACACTTGAAAGGAACAAACTTTCGATACATGAAATTTGGATGGTGAAAAAAATCCAATCTCGAGAGGTTCCATACTGTATGATTCCATTTATATAACATTCTTGAAATGAAAAAATTATAGATAGGGAGAACAGATTAGGGCTTTTCAGGGTTAGGTCAATAGGCAGAAGGGAAGTATAAAAGAGTAGCATGAGGGATCCTTGTGATGGAACTTTTCTGTATTGTGCTAATGGTCACAAATCTACACGTGTGTTAAAATTGCATAGAACTAAATGTACACACACACGTGCATCAGCAAGTGCTTGTAAAACTGGTGAAATCTGAATAAGGTAGGTAGTTTGTATGAATATCAATTTCTTGGTTGTAATATTCTACTAAAGTTATACAAGATGTTACCATTGGGGAAGCTGGGTGAAGGATATAAAGGATTTGTCTTTATTATTTCTTACAGCTGCATGTGAATCTACAATTATCTCAAAGTAAAAAATTGTTTAAATATCTTAAAAATAATAACTGGTCTGAATCAAGGCTAGAGGGTTGCAACAGCAGATCTTATAAAGCACTTTTCAGTATAATTCTACATGCGTTACTTACTAACGATATGTGAGATCCCATAGTTTTGAATCAAATGGAACCTGTGATCTTTCAGATGGGTTACAGTGGGTAGGAGGAGCCCACACACATACACACTTACACACCCACACACTCACTCTAAGGTTCACTTAAGTTCCCTATTTAAATACAAAACACGCACAGGATCTGTATCCTGAAAATACAGCTTATAAAAGCTTGTTAGAGTCGAGGTGGCCACTCAGGCAGAAGCAGATGGAGCCCATCTTGCAATGTTCTTCTTTGGCTCACAACGTTCCTAGTGGGGGCACAGCTCAAAGAGGGATACTGCCAGATCAGAAAAGCTCAATTTTTTGCTTCAATGTTGCCCTTTTATACATTGGTTGGACTCACCATTTTGGAAAAACTTACATACCAATCCATGTGTGTTTGTTTAACGAGAAGTGAATGTTTACAAACACCCACTCTCCCTGGTTCCTGAGCCAAATCCAGTGTCAGTAAGGACACATCTTCATAACCATGGAGAAAACAGTCATTTTCCAGATGTTGCAGAATAAATTCTGCTTCCAATTTTCTCATCATTAGGAAAAGAGCCCATTTCTCTGAAGGACTTAGCATTCCAATTATGCATCCAATCCTCTCATTTAAACAGTGAGAAAATCCAGGCCAGAGAGGGGCAGTACCTTGGCCAAGTTAACACAGCAAGTTTTGGCAGAGAATGGCTTAGATTTCAGGATTGCAGCTACTAGTCCAGGCCTAGTGGTGTCTAAACTATTGAAGACTTCTCTAAACTTCTTGCTTTGAATAACTGGAAAGATTTAGCAATTTGCCAATGGATGAGTATAGCTTATTTCAACTCCCCCACCTCACACTCCCACCCCCCGTGAGGAGACAAACACAGGCAGAGACCCTCTACTTCTGAGATCCCCAACTCTCTGTCTTCATCTTACTCTCTGACCACTTCTCAGGCTCTTCCAAGGGCTCTTCTGCCCTTCTTTTGGCTCATTGCTTAGTTCACTCTCAATCACAGTCATATTTTGGGAAATCATCTATATGCTATTAACTCTCAAACCTATGTCTCATTCCAAACCTCTCTTGGAGTTCAAATTCATGTACCCAAATCTCTTGATGGACACCTCCTTCTGGATCGCCCCACAGGTATCCCCAACTCAGCATCCCTGAAACCCCTTCCTCTCAGCTTACCTGCTGTTCTTCCTGTATTTTCTGTCTTAGTTACAGGAGCCACCATCAACCCAGTTGC